GGTGTAGTGTTTCACCAAGACAACGCGAGACCTCACACAAGTTTGGTCACTCGCCAAAAGCTTTTACAGCTTGAATGGGATACAATGCTACATCCACCATATTCTCCAGACCTGGCACCATCGGATTATTATTTGTTCCGGTCACTCCAAAATTTTTTAGACGGTAAAACCTTAGAAGCTAAGAAGTAAGTTTGTCCACACAGAATTTCTTTCAGCGTTTTCTCCTTTAACTTTGCATGAAAACTTTTTCGAACCAAATTTCAAGATTCTATGTGTTAGTCCTTCACTATAAAAAGACGTCTCGATAGGTCGTATTTTTTTACTGCCCGAGTTCGAAATGTGAATTTTTTTACAGGACTATGAGGCTGTAGAATTGTTTTATGGTATTAATAATTCAATTCGACCCCATCTACTCGATCCCGAGAAAGAAGAGTCTCTTACGAAAGCTATTACTATCCTCATCCATATACAGATCGGTTGGAGAGGATTTGAAACAACTTTAAATTTGAATTATCTTCGATTTTCTGGTTGAAAACGTCCCTGTGTCTTATCGACTCCCGATTAAGCAGGGAGAAAGGGTGGTCTCTCAGTCTCTCCACATTTTTGTGGGCTGCAAGACGACGTCGATCTGTCCGTAGTAATAATAGATGCAGTTTATGACGTCTTCTGTCGTCGGTTCGTTTGATATCAATAAATGGCAAACGTCAAAATGTAGGGCGACCATTCTGTGGCTGCATTTGGAATAATTATCGTTTCTCAGATCAATAATCTACGGAAGGACGCGGACGTGACATTAACGACACACAGTTTTCAAAAATATAGCTGGCAATGACTCACGGGCAGTCAGGTGCGAGTTTGAAAGAGTCACACGTCTTCTACATGCCAAAAAAAAATATTTTTGGATAAAATGACACCGCGTGTGTATAATTTTCTCTTTGCAAAAACTTGATGCTTTTTACGAACAAATTTTGGAGTGGATTTGGGTTATGAGTAATTTTTTATCTGTTTACTCATAATAACGACGGCAGTTTGATCCTGATTATAAACAAAATTTTTCGTAGAATGCTCATAAAAAAATTGTAAAAAGCAGATTGTTGTTATTGATACTGAACAATAAGACAATGGTAACGCACAAATTAGAAAAAAAATATCAAACAAATACATGAATTACTTCAAAGATGTACACACTTTAAAGAAGGTCATGACAACAATTAGAAGTTTAATCTAATCTTTAGCAAAAAAAGAATATTTTAGATTGTCACAATAATAATTATGGTGCTCTTGTTGAAGCTCTTAGGGTTATTAGGTATGGAAGTTGGAGAACAAAATTTTTGATTGTAATTCTGTGCCAAGTTGCAGAGGTCAAATGTCAAGCTGTTGTTCTTACATGCATGCTGCGTACTGGATGACTCTTAAATAAAGTTTTCCGCTTTTCTAACAGAAACACTAAGTAAGCAATAAGTACAATTTTTCAACTGGAAAGTTCTTTTCGTTTTTGAACTTAATTTTATAAATCATCAAGCTATTACGTTGTTTGCTTCACGAAAACTTTGTTGAAAAAGTTTTAAAAACAATTCTGTTATCTTTAAAATCAATTTTGTAATAGGGTAGATTTTGCCATTTCCTTTTCTATGAATAAACAAATGTTGACGGCTATCAGCTGTTGTTAGCCATCTTTGACAGTAGCCATCATCAGCCATCTTTAATGGTTTGGACAACAATTTACGTTATTTTACAAAATAATTAAATACATTCTTAAATGAATAGATTAAGAACTGATTCATTCAAATTGTTTTTCAAAATGTGAACGTATTTCCCCTAGTTCTACTTATTTTTAATCGCATTATTGTAGTAATTGTAATCTTTAAGGCAGAAAATTTAATCAAGCGACAACATTATCTAGAAACGTTTTGGTGCTTCGATATCAGTTTTTATTAATTTTTTTGTTTGAGTTAGGCACCTTTGTAAAAGATAAGCTCATTTTATATTGCACATTTGGCAAATGCTGAATGCATTTAATCACTGATAAATGGTTCAATAAACAAACATACGCAATTAATTCTACATTGATGTTGGTTTAATTTTTTATAATTTCGAATTTGCAATTATTTGTGTAATTTTAACATTAATCGCACAATAAAAAAACTACGCAGCATCAAGGACGATAATAAAGAAAGAATAATTGAAAACTGATATTTATATATGTAAGAAAAAACCACCCACGTTCCTGGAAAGGAAGCAGGAGATACCGGAGGAGAAGGATGGAAAGGGGTTGAACAAATAACTTCATTCGACTGGAGCGGAAACGTTTGCAAAACATGCCGAAACTGCGAAAGTTTTAGAGAATGGAACATCACAGGGTAGTAACCCAACTGCGAAAAATGAAACGGTTTTGTTGTAACCAGGTCGTCCCGAGGGAGAGGAAAATTTGTGCACGAAATTACCTCAGAAAAGCGAAAAGGTGTTTTCATACGACAAACAAAAATTTAATATTACTTTTGGCTACAATTTTTGTAAAACATGAGGAATCCTTATTCAAGTGGGCAGCACCAACGAAAATAAGAAGGAAATGAAAATATTTAGCTAAAATACGTATTCGTGAGGTTTTCACAATGTTTCATATAATGGAGGGCTAAGTCCGTCAGAGGCTTGGGGCGGCAAAACAAAATGGGACCCCCGTTTCTTCAGAAGTTGATGTATTTGTACGGTGGTGTACATTTTGTAAAAGAAGTAATAATATAGATGTAATGGCTAGTAAAGAAAATAGAGTATTTTGATAATGTGTGTACAGTTCCAAATGCCATTTATAAACAGTATTGTATCAAAATTAATTAAATTAAAATAAAAATACTGGTATACAAGGGACGAAAAAGTAGGGAAAGAGCGAATATAAAGATAGGAGACGAAAAATTAGTAGAAGTAGCTGATTTTCGGTATTTAGGAAGTCAGATAAGTCAGGACGGAAGGAGTAGTAGGGATGTGAAGCGGAGGGTAGTGGAGGTCGAGTCGCCTTCAATAAAACGAAGTCACTTCTCAGCTAGCGAACGGTTAATTTACAAGGGTGCGAAACATGGACGGTGGACGAGGGAGAAAAGAAAGGGTTAGTAGCGTTCGAAATGTGATGTTACAGGGGAATGATGAGGATAGAGAAGATTAGAAATGAAGAGATATTAGAAAGAATAGCAGACAGAAGGCTTTATAGAAGTCAATAAGAAATAGTTAAGATAAGTTGGTAGGACACCTTCACAGGCATGAGGGGTTAGTCAGAGACATGTTAGAGGCAGGAACAGGAGTTAAAACGAGTAGAGGTAGACACGGATTAGATTAATCTTAGCAAATTGTTAAAGATATTGGTTTGACCGTGTTTCCGAGAATTCTCTTAACTTCTGCTTGTAATACGTCTCTGACTAGTCCTTCATGCCTGAGAAGATGGCCTATCAACAAATCTCGCCCATTTCTTGTTGGTTTCCATAACGCCCTCTGTTCTTTTACTATTTCCAATACCTCGTCATTTCTAACCTTTTTTATCCACGGTATCAAATGCTTGGAATTCCAAATTAACTGATCTGGAGCACACAATATTTTCGTCATATCTGTAGCGCTTTTCTATTCTGAGTTATCTAACCCTTTAAGTGTTCTTGTCGTTTATCGTCTCCTATTTGTATATTAGTTCTAATTTTACCTTTACATCCCTTACATACGTATTTGCAGTATTACACTTACTGAACGTATTTTGGCCTTGTTTGGGATTTCTTTAAAAAGTATATTTCGAAATTTGGACCCCCCCACCCAGGATCAGAAGCCCAAGGAAGGGCGCTCCCTCCGTTTCCCCACAGTCCATCACTGACCTCATACGTAGTATATTTTATTTTTAGGAGAGAACCCGATGCAATTCAAGTTTGCTGCTAGGAAATATTAGGTCAAATTTTACTTATTATAATAGCAGATTATAAATTTATATTGCTCTCAAGTTTAATTTTTTAAAAATTGACTTGCAGATAATAGAAATTTAATTATCTGTATTACATTCTTCAGTAATATCTAATCTCTATATAACACATAAAAAATGAAATACATACCACTCACTGACATAAGTGCTTATTTATTTATTTATTTAGTTATTCAATCAAATGTACGGGTTTTTAACCCATCTCAATAGGGATAATTGTGCCATTCATATAAATAAGGTAGTTATGAGTTAGTAGGTAATTTACCATATAGAATGATGGTCAAATTATTGTCAACTAAACTTAATAACGGTTAAGTTAAATTAAATTACTAATTATAATTAATATATTTTGAACTAAAGGGGTATATTATGTATCGATTTCGAAATATTTTGAATACGANAAATCATCAATCTCAAAAGAAAAAATAAATTTTTTCAAAAAATCTTTGTATGCCCGTAGTCTCACAAAAAAAAGCCGAGTTTGCTGGTCATGTAGAAATTTTGCCGCCGCTGTTTTTTTTACCTCCCTCCATCACTTCCGGCAGGGGTGGTATTTGTGTGTTTGTGCGTTGTCTCTCTCGTTCTCTCCCCCAACTTTTCGCGTTGTATATTCCCAGAAGTTGGGCGCCAGAAATGCCGGCGACGTCTTACATTACAGACGCCACAGCGTAGCGACGCCGTATAGAGAACGAGACACGCACCCTATCACAGGGGTTGCTATTCCAACCCAGGCAAACAACAACGTAATATTATTTTCGCTCAAACTTTGAAAACAAACATCTCGTCATCGACCTGTTTTACTTTGATGAGAGAAATCGCGAAATTTTTCTAGTTTTGCAAAAGAATCCACCAATTAATTTTAGTGATCGAAATAATAATAATATAATAATAATCTAAGGGATGATTAGAAAAAGTGACCTGATCGTCTTTGTATTTTTCGGAGCAATAATCATACAGGAGGGTGAGTATTTTTTTTTATTTTTTGAAAATATCAAACTAAAAACTGTTAAGTTTGAAGTTAAGAAAACTGGTCCACATTGTTTTAATTTTGAAGGTTGATCGCCCAGCACATTTTTTTTTGCTTTTAATTACCCTCTGATGTATAATTATCTACAATTGTAGAAGTTTTACGGTAATTATTAATAGATTCATCAATGTGTGTGTGTCTGTAGTATCTTTGTTTATTTGTAGCATGTCTCACATTGATAAGAACGAAACCTTGCAATCTAATTACCAAGTGATAAATGATAACAAATTCGCGTTTAGACTTTTCCATTAGGTGTATACATAAAATATATTTTTTTTTTATTTTCGGAGAATGTAAAAAAATATCAAATTAGTCCAGTAAAAAATTGTTGTAAAGGATATTTTTATGAATAATATAAATATGTGCGACACCTCCACCATTTTTAAAATTTTATGGATAGTATTTGTTTTACTGGGTTGTTTAAATTTCGAAACATCTACAACTAAGGACCATTTTCTTTTTTCTTTTCGATACAAAAAACTTGACGCAACTCCAACATATTTTTTTAAAAAAATGGTGGTAATTGTTCGTAATCTTCAGGTTCGTCATTGAGATGTTACAGCTGTAGTTCAAAACAAAATGCCAACTGTATCGATCCGGCAAGGCACAGGATGCCTCCGACCTTTTGTAACGAAACTGCCCTTCACTCCATAAAACTGCTAGCCCATAAAAGTGTATCCCGAAAAATAGCAGAAGTTTACGACATCGACTTGAAACACGGCAGGATAGAAGGTCCTTACGACTGCGTCAAACAAATTACTAAAGGTACAACAGGATTCCAATCAAGCCTCCTCTAGGGACCATACCTGATCGCGATTTCGAAAGAAGAAAAATTATTATAATGCAAATTTGTTCTTCGGGATGGACGATCAGGATTCCTTGCAGGAATGAATAGTGACGATTTGAATCGGATGTTTTCCGATTCCTTATCTGGTTTTATTAGTCAGGGGCGCCAAAGTTAATCAATATTGATTAGGCTAATTTGCTAATTATTGACCGAAAGAGTAGAGAAAAATTTATTTGGTTTCAAACAATTTTTCTTCATTAATTTGAAGTTATCAGTAGTGGTAAAAGTTAATTCAATTAACATTTGTTGAATAGGGCAAGAAACATCGTTCCTACTGGGTGCCCCAAAGTCGAATTTAGCATTCGCAATTTAGTCAGAATCTTACGTACTTATCTTTAAAATTGAAGAAAACGTTTGGTCAACTTTGACAGTCCATGATGGTTAAAAAAGTATCCATGTAATAGAAACTTCTCACTATTCACATTCAGAATAATCCCAGATTGCTCATCATCATCTACATTTGCATTCGAGTAATTTTTCTTCTTTATAATTTCTTTTAACCCATTGCGAAAATGCGAGGGCAATACGTTTTGTTTATGTCAAAATCCAAAATAGACTAGACATCAATTAAGGCTGTTTTGTTTTTGTCTAAACAAACGAAATATTTGACCGATTGTTCAAATGTGTTTTGTTTTAGAAAATACTACAAATGACGCAGTAAACGCCATCTGAAGCACGATGCTACATTTTAGGATTACGTATGCTCCAACAAGGTCCACTTGTGTGGATATCTACTTGCTGAAAACGAATCCCGGCGTAGCCAACCTCAACGTGATAGGCACGTTAGCTTAATCGAATAAAATAATTCGAAGT